TTATATCTATATCCCATTTAGTTTATATTTTGCTTGGGAATTCTGCAACGTAGCTCTTTTCAACAGCAGTTCTGGCTGCTGAGCGGAATTCCCTGGATGCATTTCCAAAGCAGTCTCGTGCGCGCCGACCATCCCTTGCCCGGGCTCTTGCACTGCCCGTTATTAGTTACCGAAACCGTAACAGTAAAAAGAGAAAAATGGGCCTTTTCAGCAAAAGGACGAATTTTATGCCATATGATGTTTTAGAAAGAACCTATGGCATGTAACTGCCGTTTCCTGCAATATATAGCTATACAGCTTTATTTTTATCATTAGATTTTACTTCTTGAATTAAGATATGCAAGTACTGAACTTTGTGCAGTTGTCCGTGAAGTCAGATTTTTTTGTGCATTATGTTTGCAGAGTCTTACACATATTACCATATTGCTTGTGTCACAACATTCCCATTGTTTTCCTATCTTGTGAGATGATATACAGTCAGGATGCATAATCAATTATTGCCAAATTTCAGAAAACAGAATCAGATGTTATTAGTCTGAGTTGACTGTCTGTACGTACCAGCATGGGTCATAATATATTTTGAATCACGCGGTCCTTGTCCAGCGGAGTGACACACATTCAGCAGGGAAAGGCTAGATCAGTAGCAACTCAAGGAGGTTCATGGTGTCTGGTTTTGATAACGTCACAAAAGTTGCGATTCTATTTTTGGAAAAAGCACATGGGATTTTTTATTCATTTTGGTCTTTACAATTTTCAAAAAGGATGGAAAATAATGATTTTAATGGTTTTATTTTCATTAAACAATCATCAAAATAGCCCTGTGGATGAGAAGAGTGGCCGATTGTTATGCATGAAGGATTCTCAAGTGGAATTGCTCGCAGTGGGAGTCAAGCCAAAGGCCTGAATTTTTTACTCAGCTTGAAGGAATGAAGTATACCTACTTTTATCAATACCTCCATGCATATAAACTCAATGGTCATTTTCAGGTTTCGTCTATTACCAGACGCAGATCAATATTTCCATAGATGTCATATCCTCTCCACAGCAAATCCACGGTACGGAGTTGCCGCATTTCATCACAGAAGGAGAATTCTGCAAGGCTGCGGTCCAGAACGGTGGGAGTCCCCCCCCCCCCCACCTACATTGACTCGAACAAATCATTATGGCTGATTCACGCTGGGTGAAAATACTCGGACTCTCCACAGCTAAAGGACGCGATGTCGTGATTGCAAGAATCATGCTGCAGTAGGTAGCGCAGTGAGTAAGTTGGAAAATCTACGTAAAGTGTGAACTGTGAGATGTGGAATACATAGCCCTACTTGTGCACGAGAGGTCAGAATACCGT